GAAGTTATGTATTATTTCGTCACGCCACGTTGAGCTCACTGATTGTATGAAATGCGTTTTGTTTTTCTTCTTATTTTGCATTTTATTACTGCGTAGCAATTGTTGTAGATTCAATGCGACATTGAAACTCGGTGCTGCGTCGTTTGCAAATTTCAAAGCGCAATGATTGCTCCACTTAAATGCGACCCTAACTAAAATTAAACCTACGCATATGTAGTACATACGTATGTACATACATATATTTATGTCCTTTCATAGGGCATTGTGTTGTATGGATTGTCTGCCACCGGGCTTTTGATGGCATATGGTGGTGGAAAAAGGAAGCTAATGAAATGAAAATTTTTTAGTCTTAAATATATCAAACTGAAATATTTTTAAATAAATATTTCATTCTAAATACTAACTATGCGTGCGTAAGTTTTTCAGAATGGGGCGACACACGGAGAGTCGTTTAAAATTGGCAACAAAAACGAAATTAGCCGAAGCGGAACACAAAGTCGATTCAAAATTGGCCAAAACACATGCGAATGGCCATATAGAGTGCATTATCTGCAAAGTCACACTGAAGTCGGCCACTTTATGGAAGGTGCATGTGAACTCAAAGCTGCACAAGGAGCGAATTTCGCTGGTTAAACAAATCAAGTCCACATATAAAGGCGGTCCTGGCCTGTCAGCTGAAGCTGCGCCAAAACCTGCAACTAAAATTGCTCCAAAAATAGAAGAGAAGCCGCCGCGTGTGTGCGCCGTAACAGAGAAACAATTAACAAAGTCAGCGCCAGCACCAGCTGCTCTTGAAAAATCATCGCCAAATAAAATCGATACTTTATTGCCGGAAAAGTTTTTCGACGATCCCGTCAAGGATGCCAAAATTCGCAACACAGAATATAAAGATCCGCTTACAGACGAATGGGAACGTTTTCAACGCGAAATTAGAGAGGCCTCTTCGGTGTCTGTGGCCATTATTGCGGGAGAACAAATTGAATCTGCGTTTGATAGAGATATCGACGAAATCAATGATCAAATGATACATTGGTCTAGATTTATGAATCTTGAGGCGCGAAAGGGAACACTCAGAGGCACGAAAGAGCAGACATCCGAAAATCATAGCTCCGATGAGAACGAAAGTGACGACGAAGCAACAACTGAATTTTCTGACTGGCGTTCCAAGTCATTTCTTTAACCAATTATGAAGGATAAACGTATTTGATTATAGTAGTAAATATTTATAAAATATTTGTTATTTTTGTTTGTATGCATCCTAAATTTTGGAATAAATTTGTGTTTAAGATATGCTGTATACATAAACATTCGAATTGACACAATTTACTTGAAAAGTTATCAGGTGAGGGTACGTAGCAATTTAAGAAATTAACATTAAAATCGGATACTTAATGGGAACATAACAAATTGGCTTAAGTGATAACGAAGTTTTAGACCAGGCGGTTGATTTTAGTGCGATTTTTTCAATTGAATGCTGGAAAACGTAGTAAGAGCTGCCAATTGGCACACAGTAGAAAATATCGGAAAAATGAGTATATTTTTTAAAATTTTTTATTGAAATAACTTTAATTTTATGATCATGATAAGACATGATGCAACAATACAAGGTGTTATCGGTTGGCAACTTATCGCTCTAATTCCGCCATATTGACTGCCTTAGGTGAAACAGTGTTACTTCTTTAACAATTCTTTGCCTAATAATATAGTTGCATTTTTTTTTATTTTTTCTCAGTATACACATTTTGTTTTCTTAAAAAGGTTTTTTATCTTATTTTATTTAATTTCATTACGAATATACTGTAAAAAAGCAAATTTTGTTTGGAAGAAAATATGAAATTTTATATTTTCCACCCAAACGGGGATTAATTTCTTCCCGTTTTTCTTCTTATTCTACTGAGCTAAGGCAGTATCAAATCGAGCTGTCACAACGGATACCACCTTGTATTATTGCATCATGGTGGGTACCTACCACTCTGTTGGGCTTAGGTAAGCCATGTCGAATCTATGATTGTGTATGCATCTGTAACGAAAAAATTTCACACGGTCATCAGTTCGTCGGAATTCCTTTTATGTAAGATAACTTTGGACCACGTGAGCCGTTTGCGATATAGGGAAGGTGGTACCATACTAATTTGGTTTATATGACCATTGAAGTCGGTTGTATTTTTTGCTTAAAAATTACACAGGACAATTATTTTTTTAACCTATGATCTAATAGTAAGATTCCCTTTACCAGCTTCCCATAGGAAACGTACGGTTGAAAACTTTTCTATTAAATAATTGTCTGCCTAGAGTTTAAGCTAAACTTTACCATTCTGTTCCTTCGTGTAGTACAACGAATTTTTGAATTTTTTGATATTTACTACTTGGCGGTTTCAATTCCTTTTAGTTGCGTTCTCTTGCTGTTACTCACTGCTCTTTTTAGTGCTGTTGTCTCTACGCTTATTTATGTTGCTCTAACTTTCTTCTTAATGTTGTTGTTTTTCTTAGTTGTGTTGTTCATTTCGATGACTTTTCTTGAAGGTCAGTGACCCACACCCAGCATACAAGGAAACTCAATTTACAAGAACAACAACAATGCAAATATTGTACTTTCGCATAAACATCCACTTAAGATATGGCCAACAAAGGATGTAACGCATTCGTTGCACAACACGAAGTAGCTGATTGTCTAAATGTTATTCTTTCTTCGACATATACGATGTACATTAGGGTGCGTCGCCAAAAAAAGTTTTGTTTTTTTCACTGGAACTATAAATTTTATTATATTTTAAGATTTCGCCAAAATATTTCGTAGAAATATTAAGATTGATACCTCCAAAAGTTTCACTATTTTGATTCAGTCCATTGAATCATCTATCCTCAGGTGATTTTTGGTAAAAAATATTTTTAAAAACTATGTTTTTTAATAAAAAAAAAACGGTTTTATATGTATTTTCAAATCAGTGCAGCTTTCCGAAATATTTTGGCGGCAGTCTTAAAATATAATAAATTTTATAATTCCGATAGAGAAACAGTACATACCGATATTTTTTTTTATTGAGAGTGTTGCACTTTAATGAACATGTACTTCGAAAGACCTCATAACTCAATTGCTCTTACTTTTTCCCCCGAAGTGTTCTTGGTACATACATACATATGTGCTACGTACGGTAGTGGCCACATAATTAGGGACACTACTTTTTTACAAGTTTTGACAATTGCATTTTCTTTTTTGAATTCATTATGTTGTTGTTGTTGTAGCGGCTACTAAAGCCCGCTCGAGTCGGCTAAACCATCAACGTGGTCATCTGTTTCAGCTAAGGGAAGCCCCGGGAAGTGCGCGACTTCAACGAGGTCTGTCCATAGGGACGGGGGCGTTAGCTGGGTGGGGTTTTGGGGGCATACGAAGAGGTATCATGAGTTATGTGGCGACTCTCCGCATGCCGGGCACTGGTTGGGAACATCCTCGTTTATTCTGCTCAAGCTGCAAAAGCCACAGCGAATTTGGGGTTTTGTCATCTCTGCTTAGAACGGCATTCACAGGTCGAGAGTCTATATAACTCGAGACCTACTCCGAGGATTTTTGGGTTATTCACAGCCGGCTTTGGTTCACCATCGACGTGAACATCCAGTTGCAGTCTTGACTTCCTTCGTTCAGGTGGTAAATAAGGATTTTGTAGGGGAGAGGATTAGGCTCCTTGCAGTGAAGAAGCGAGAAAGCTAGGCAAGTCATCAATTCCATTCCCAGACGCCATTATCGAGCAATCGCCAGCACAGCAGACAATAGCGACCCCCTCTAGTGGTTGAGGGAGCTTTGAAATAATAATTAATAAATAGTGGGGATAGGACACCACCCTGTGGAAACCCCTCTTTAATTTTTCTTGTCGACCACTCAGATAATTCGCCGACCTCCGGGATATGCGACGAAAACTAATTTATACTCACTTATTGAACGAGAAAACGACATTGAAAATACGATGGATAATACATAATCGAATAACAGTCGTTTATCTACTACTGGTCGGCGCTCGCAATAGGGGTGTATATTTTTGTAAAAAAAATAAATGGCCAAATTTGGAAAGAAATAGTGTGACTAATTATGTGTCCACCACTGTATGTAAACGGTGAGAAGAGCGTCTAATTTTTTTTTACTTTTTCTCAACAAATTTTCTTTTCTTTGTACATTTTTTGCACGCCTGCAATGCGCTCTGTCTTTGCACTCTTTCGCAATGCCCCGTAATGCCAGAAAGTGTTTCGCAATTTTCCTTGTTTTAAAATGTAGTGTATATTTATGTATGCAAGTAGAAATGTACTCTCTCTTTTTGGTTTTCATGCATTATGCAGCAGTTGGACATGCAGTTGTCATATGGGCGGGTTCATCTCTGACTGGGTTGCCTCTTCGGTGGACCGATTGACGTTTGTCGGGGGGGAGGGGGGAAATGCCCCGTGTGCACACGTGGAAATCGCGCATCGCCCTTTACGCCTCAAGTTCAGTGGCACCTGCCTTGTTACAACGAGCTCATTACATTTATTATCAGCAATCTCTGCTATTTTGTCGATAGTGTTGTTGCATTGGTGAATGTGATTATTATGAAAGTTATGACTACCAACTTTTTACCGTTAATGCCAATCTAACTGGGACTTGGCACACAAAGCACTTGTTAATATTAAGTTCTGCTGCTACTAAATCTAAAAACTTTGAATATGGAATTACCTTACTATGTATTACCATTCCCACAAAAGAAAGTAGTGGGATATAGATAATGTTCTATACTACCATTTTCTCTAAATCGTGACAACTACGTCATAAGTCATTCGACTCGATTACATGTCGGAGCCGAGGTCGCAGCAGTCGCAAGAATAGAACTTTTATCCAAACTAGGCCAGGTGAGTCGTGCTATCCTACACGTGGGCAATTAATAAAGCTGTTTTCCAGCCAGTGTTTGCAAGACCATCGAGGAATACCCTCGTTAAGCGCGTATACAATGAAATTATTCCCTGCTTGCTGGTTCATCTTCCATGTAATTCTCTGATATATATTTTTGTGGCCTGGCACTAATACTATAAGTGTGACGTGGCGCTTTGTATGCTCGTTTAGAATATGTTAGGATTTTTCACAAGAAAGTGCTTCAGAAAATAGCTAAGCATGGTTATGTCAGAAACGGATAAGCCACCTTGAAGCTTCGTTAGTTCAGCTTGGAAAACTCCGGTGTATATCGCCATAGAATTGGTGTCTGTCCTGAGCCCGGTCATGACTTTCAGAAAGAGTGTCTTTTTCGCGCTCATTCTTTAAATCCTCGGGCATAGGATCGTTGCGATTTTCTTTAAGCAGTCCAAAAAAGGCTCTGCTCTGACTGTGAGGTGGACTTCATCTTTAGTCCCTAAACCAGCGGCACGTGCATAGATTCTACTATTGGCCGCTTATGTATCCGGGGAGGGCTTATGCTCTGGGAGGGAGTTTGCTGTGCTAGACGTTGACGGTTCACATGTTAGGTTTTGTAGTCCTTATGAGCTCAGCTTGCGCGTTAAATCTCAATTTCTTGCCGTCCTCAAGGGGTTTGAGCCGTATAGGATTTTTCGTTCAGACTAATTTTAGTGACATGCCTGTCGATTTCTGGCTATCACTCAACAGCTTAATCTAAATATTATTTTTAATAATTATCCGTTTAGAATCCCCTAAATGCTTTACATAGTATATATCGTCGTTTAAAGTAAAAAACCGCGTATCAACAAAATGCAAAACCGCGTATCAGGATAAACACGAAACACTTGGCGAAAAGCTTCATGTATTACCTTTTCATTCCCAGTAGGCCAATTTGTTAGATACTACAAAAATGCATTGCCTAGTCACGTACATTTTGAGTAGCAATGAATTTGCAACTGACTAAAGTAGGTGGAAAGTAGGAGAAGCCGAAGTAATACATTGATACGAAGCGAGTAGATAACAAAGTTAGGTAGTGAGCAGCTACGTACTCAGCATCTTAAGTTGTAGCTGCTGTGTATAAGATCAGATGAACGATCACATGAAAAAAGCATGTGTGTTAGCATGGACGCACGATCGAATACGTACGATATCACTCTATTGCTTTTTGTACTACACAAAGTCATCGCTGTGCGTTAGTCATGGGGAATAGTCATGGAAGTTGTTGCGCTCCGCAGATGAAAATATTAATAATTTGCACTACCTGGTGGCCTACTGGGTTGCTGTTTATTGCTGCCGCCACCTCTGCTCCACGCGCTTTATGCCATTTGATTAATTGCATTTACTAAACTTTATACATACAGTGTGTACATAAATATGTATGTATGCGCAATGAACGATATAAACGCGACAGCAAAATGATCGACGATGCAATGGAAGACGACATGCGTCGTATTCACATTTTATCCATGGCTTTTTGTAGTTGCGCCTCCAATAAAAATACTACATATAATTTCTTGTAAGTTATTCTGTAGAATTGCGAATGCCCCTATTCTTCTACAAGTCTTGAGCGTGCTTCCGTTTGACGTTGTGTTGCCATTTTGCTTTTATCTCTACGTCATCATCATCAGCCATCGTCTTTTCTGCATTTAAATGTCGCCTTCTTATTGAATTTTGCCTTGTGAAATTGTAGAGGAAATGCAAATTTATTGTACTGTTACA